AGCAATGTTTCTTTTACAATTTGGGTGCTCTTGTATTTAGGGCATAGATGGTAAGAATTGAAACATTATCTTGGTGGATTATTCCTTAGATGAGTATGAAGTGTCTTTCCCTGTCTCTTTTGATTAATTTTGGTTTGAAGTCTATTTTATTAGATACTAAAACAACGATACCAGCTTATTCCTTAGGTGAATTTGCTTGGCAAATCTTTTTCCAGTTCTTTACCCTGAGGTAATGCCTGTCTTTGATGTTGAGGTGTGTTTCTTGTATGCAGCAGAAGGATGGATCCTGTTGTCACATCAATTCTATTAGTCTTTGTCTTTTTTATTGGGGAATTGAATCAATTGATATTAAGAGATATCAATGACCAATGATTTTAATTCCTGTTATTTTGCTGTTGCTGTTGTTCATGGTGGTGGTGGTGGTGCGTGCGTGCGTGAGAGAAGCGGGGGGGGGGGAGATACAGAGACAAAGACAGAGAGATAGAGATTATCCCTTCTTTTGGTTTTGTTGGTATGAGATTCTATATTTTCTGGATTTTTGTGGGTATAGTTTACTACCTTAGGTTGAAGCTGTCTTTCTAGTGTTGTCTATAAGTCTAGATTTATAGATGTTGTTAAAATTTGTGGCATGTCTTATTTTTCCATCTATGTTAATGGAAGTTTTGCTGAGTCTAGTAGACTGGGCTGACATCTATTGTTTCTTAGACTCCACAGAACATCTATCCAGGCCCTTCTGGATTTTAGAGTCTCAACTGAAAAGTTAGGTATAATTCTAATAGGTTTACTTTTATATGTTAACTTGCTCTTTTTCCCTTACAACTTTTAATATTGTCTCTTTGTTCTGTAGGTTTAGTGTTTTGATTATTATGTGGTTAGTGTACTTTCTTTTCTGGTCCAATCTATTTGGTTTTCTGTAAGTTTCTTGTACCTTTATAGACATCTCCTTCTTTAGGTTAGGAAATTTTTTTTCCATGATTTTGTTGAAAATATTTTCTGGACCTTTGTGCTGAGATTCTTTCTTCTCCTTCTATTCTTTTTATTCTTAAGTTTGGTCTTTTTATAGTATCCTAGATTTCTTGGATGTTTCTGTCAGGAATCTTTTACATTTAACATTTTCTTTGACTTTCTCTTCAGTGGCTGCAATTATCTCTTACATCTCTGTTGGTGATGCCTATGTCTGTAGTTTCTGTTTGCTTACCGAGATTTTCTGTTTCTACAATTCCCTCAGTTTATGTTTTCTTTATTGCTTCTATTTCCATTTTCAGGTGTTGGGCAGTTTTATTCATTTCTTTCAAGTGTTTGTTTTTTCTTGGCTTTCTTTAAGGAATTTACTCATTTCCTCCATTTGGGGGGGATTTGTATTTTTTCTCAATTTCTTTAAGGGATTTATTCATTTCTTCTTTAAAGACCTCTATCATCTTAATTAAGTTGGTTTTAAGGTCGTTTTTATTGTGCTTAATCTGTATTGGAATTTTCAGGGCTTGCTGTAGTGGGATAACTGGGCTCTCTGGTGATGTAACATTTCCCCGAGTATTGTTGATTGTGTTCTTATGCTGGCCTTTAGACATCTGACTTTGGGTTGATTCTAGGTTCAGGTACCAATTTCTGGGTTTGTCTTTGTTGGATGGGTATTTTATTCCTTGGTTTCTGTTTTCCCTCTGGTCGTCTGGCTTGTGTGGTCTGTGGTTGATCCTCTAAGTTGAGGCCTGGGGTTCCAGTGGCTGGTTTGACTTCTGGTCCAGATAGGAGTCTCTACTCAAGTTGCAGCCTTCTGATTGGCATGCCGGGGGGTGTTTGGGTGAGGGAACCAAGAGAGTGGGGGAATTCTGTGGATTCGTGTGGTTTACCTGGTCTTCTGGCAGGCATGTCTATATTCATTTATATTGAGAAAAATACTTCTGTCCTGTCTCTGAAAAAAATGGTGTAATTACTGTCTTCACTAACAGTCATTTTTATTGGCACAAAAACTCAGCTGTTTCCAACTGAACAGGAGGCAGGGGGCTAGCAGATATAGCCCGACACCAACATACTTTATCCTCAGTAGGATTGCTGGCTGGGAAGTCATGTACATCTGACATTTAAAACTGTCCAACTGTCTTATCTAGTCAGCTCATTTTGCAACAGTGTACCACAGCTTCTTACTCTTATTTAATTGTATCTTAGTACCTATCTGCTGAACAGTCTTTCCCCATCTACAGTGCATGTTTCCAGGATCTGGGGACCACTTTCAACTGCTCTGAAATGAACAAAAGGAGATTTCTCTGTGTTCTTTTTATGTTTTACAAATTAATGAAATCATGGGGCACTCACATGATATGTTCTTTGATTTCCACTTTCATCTATGTTGCAAATGATAAGATTTCATTCTTTTTTTCTGCACAAATACTATTTTCTTACATAGACGAACCTTTTCTTTATTATCACTTATTGAACGCTTAGCTTGCTTCTGTTTCTTGGTTTTATGAGTGTAGCTGCAATGAACGGAAAGTTGTAGAAGCCCTTTAATTTCTATTCATTTCTGCTGGACATGTGCCCTATAAAGGCATTCTAGAAATAAATGGTGTATTTTTTACTTTCTGTGTTACGATGATAAAATCCCGATAAAAAGCAACTTAATGAAAGAGGGGTTTATTTTTACTTTTGCTTTTAAATTTATGTGGTGATAGATATGTGATAAAGCGGGGAAGATAATGAAGCCAAACATGTTTAGAGAAGATAAATACTATTGAACGGGCATGGTCAGTGATGTGTGCCAGTCTATGCTTGATGTGGCAGCTGGAAGTGACTAGGACCAGCATGCTTCAATAAACACTGAAGTATGACCTCTCCATGCTGCTCCTTCTCCTACTCCCTCTCTTCCTCGGTTCCTCCTCCTGCTTCTCTTCCTCCTTCTTTCGTGGAGGCTGAAAAATGACTTCAAGCATTTGCCCTGAGTCTGGCAGAAATCTTTACATATTCAATATCTGAAATGATGAAAATCATTTATAATTGTTTTCCAAATCCCTTCAGTATCAATCTTTGCACAATGAAATATTTAAGAGAAAATCTGACCAACAAATTATATGAAAGGATATATGGCATTGTCAAGTCCAAGACAGTAAATGTGTGTGTTTATGCAGACATGTAAATTTTACGTATACATTAAATAATTGATAAATTTAGAATGAATATAAACTAGGTAGAAAACACTTCCATGTAACTTTTTACAAAATATATATATGATTTTGTGTGTCAGCTTCTCTGTCTCTTTTTTCCCAAAAATCTCATGAACTATGATAACATATAAGTGTTTATGTATATTCATGTACATACATATGCATATGTGTGATAAAATGTTGTAAATTTAACCTGTGATCAGATGAATGAAATTGTTGAAATAATAGGAGCGGCGGGGCTGCGTACCCAGCACCCCGGCTGCCTGCTAGCTTATGCCCTGAAATAACAACACACAAACTATTCATTGAAGCACTGCTTGGCCCATTTCTATCTAGCCTCTTCTAGGCTAATTCTCGCACCTGGACTAGCCCATTTCTAATAATGTGTGTAAGCACCCCAAGGTGCGCTTACCGGGAAGATTCTAACCTACATCCATCCTGGGTCAGAGCTTTATCACGTATGCCCAGGAGAGTGAAGCACGGCCTCTGCTCCAGAGAGCAGAGCTGTCGAGTCTGAGCTCACTTCTTCTTCCTCCCAGCATCCTATTCTGTTTACTCCTCCCACCTATGTTTTAACCTATCAGGGCCAAGGAGTTTCTTTATTGCTTAACCAATGAAATCAAGAGATTGATATATGACACTCCCACATCATGAAATGAAAAATAATCTTATGGCTATCATAGCTATTGGTCAAAAGTTATATACACACAGAAGAACACATATAACATCAATATCATTTTTCTTTACATTTTTTATACAATATGTTTTAGTCATGTTTTTTCCTTCCTGAAACTCATCCCACTTCCTCCTAATCACATCCCCTCCCCAAAAAACAAACAAACAAAAGACAAAAATCAAAATAAAACCCCAACAAGACAAAAATACACAAACAAAACAACAAAAAATTATGTAGTCAGTTTTATGTTTGCTATCTACTCCTGGGCATGGTGCCTGCCTGTTCTTGAGTGTAGTTAACATACCTAGTAACACTTAATTGGAGAAAACTGATTTTCCCTATCCCAGTATGCATCAACAGCATCTTGGTTAAGGGATGGGATGTAAAGTCTGGTTCCTCTTCTTGGTGTTGGGATTTGATTTTGTTTGAACCTGTGGTGTCTTATGTGTGCTGTCTCTAAAGTCCTTTTGAAAAACTATGATACTATTTTTCTTTAGTTTCACCAGTGTTTAAAGAACTATTAAGTGCAGAAATTATCACAAGAGTCCCAAAGGTTCTATCCTCCTCTCAAGGTCTCCTGGGAGAGTGAACTGAAAAGACCCAATCAGGTACACCAACTCAGTTTTGAATTTCTCAAAAGGCTGTGCAGCCTGCATGTCGAATCTGATTGTCAGAGACTTCCTGATCCTCAGTCATGTACACCAGCCTTGTCTTTGTTCACTCTAAGGTAAGCTGGGATAACTTCCAAAGACTCTTGCTTTTGAAAATTAAAAGAAATGTAATAATTGGGGTGTGGTTGTTGACTAGTGCAATGATACCTAACTATTCATTTGGGGAATAAAAAGAAAATATGACCTCCCTACACTGTGAAACAATTTTAATCCATCTGTAATTTCACGGAGATAGCAAAGTTTGGGCACTTTGAGGTTCCTATAGGATGAAAGTATTTTTGCTTTAGCTAATAGTTAATTATGTTCAGGATTGCTTCTCTAGTGGAATGATCTGGGTGGGAAAATGAGAGTTTGCCCAATATTAGGAAACCAGAGAGTAGAAGGAGTTGGGAGGATTTGTTAGGAGACTTCTACAGAAGATCTCAGTGCAATCTCTCACAAAGCCAGGTGTCACATGGCATCTGTGTGAACTGGTTCAGACCTGAAAATCAGGCAGTCTTACAGACAGGCTCTGTATGAAGGGCTCCTTCAATGAAGAACCAACTATCTTTACCTTTCTGCGTTTGTTCTGTCTCTCTCCCTTAAGATACGACCAAAAATAAGATTTTTTTTCTTTCTTGCACCTGAGCATCAGGTTCTTCTGATCTCATGAGCCTGTGCAGCTGTTTTTCAGCATTAGAGTTCATCCACTATGGTGATGGGAATTCGTGAACTTTCAAGTGGAAATTTATACTTTTGCCACCACTTTGCTTTTGTGAACTAAGGTACTTTTGAATTACTCTGCACCTCCATTCCCTTTCTTATACAATGATAAAATGAGGCTGTTATCTATGCTGTGTAGGGTTGAATAAAGGAATCGGCCTGCACTAGAATACTAGAACCCACAACAGAAGAGACTTATCTACTTGGCTCATTAGTGTAACCTGAGAAAATAGAATGCCTTAAAGGATGTTGAAGACGTTGTTAAATTGTTAAAGGGTAAAATATCTCTTATAATCTGTAGATTATTATAACAGATAATTTGCATTAATGGCTGTATTCTAGGAATTAATTGGGGACCTACTCCTCATCTAGCTATTGTAATTTGTCTATGGCACAGAACAGAACTTAGAACACTTTCCATTTATAACTCCTTTTCCTCTGAGAAATTTTTACATAACCATAAGTACATAGGGTTATCAACTAAGAATACAAACCAAACACTGGAAAATAAATCAGAAACGAATTTATTTTAAATTGGATATTTGGTATGCATATAATTTTGCCATTTATTAAAGGCAAAAGAATTTTTATTAATCATATAAAGTGCTTATTTATTTTCAAATGACTTAAAACTTGGCTGAACATTTCTTACTGTGGGATACAGAGCATCTTCAGCATGTTTTGGAGTTCATGGATATTTTGTTATGATTGCTAAGACCGAGAAGGCTGCTGTATCTAACTATATAGCACAAAATAGAAGTGGGTTGTTTATAGTGATCTTAGAATGGAGTGGGTATGGGAGGACCTTCTGTCTGTGTGTGGCTTTTATTGGTTAATGAATAAAGAAACTGCTTGGGCTACACAGCTAGGTGGAGAAAACTAAACTGAATGCTGGGAGAAAGAAGGGCAGAGTCAGAGAGAAGCCATGTTACTTTGGAGAAGAGGCTTTTCTTGTTTCCACAAGAAATTAGAGGGTGTGGATTCATTCCAGGTTAAGAAACAGCAGATTTGATCAAGGAAGGCCCCCTGAGAAATCTCCGATAGGAGCAGATGGCCCAGTTGTCTGAGTTCTACATCCAGAATAGATTCAAGACTGCTGCCTGAGATGATCAAGCCTCACAAAATTTTTCAGTCAGGACTTGACCATAATTCTAAATTTTCTTTAAATCCCTGTAAAATTATCAATGCCACCCAATCAACAGGAGTAGCCTGGAACACTACACCCACATTCCCAAAAAATGGACTATGAATATTTCCCTTTGTTTAGAATGTTGGCTACAAGTTGTTATGGATAATGGTCAGGAGAAAAGCTAGACAAAAGATATTAGATTCAGAGTTCTTGTTTCTTTAAAAAAAAAGAAAAAAGGAGGGAAGTACTATGGGACAATTTATCCTATCCCTCGTGTTATTTTTAGTAAAACACTGATTGGACAGTAGCCAGGCAGAAAGTTTAGGTGGGGTGACCAGGCAGGAAGTAGAGGTGGGGCAACGAGAATTCTGAGAAGAGGGAAGTTTGGGTCTGCAGTCCTGAACCAGATGCAGAGGACACAAGAGGTGACTGCCTCGCCAAAAGAGGTACCAAGCCACATAGCTAACACAGACAAGGATTATGGGCTAATATAAGTTATGAGAGTTAATAAGAAGCCTGAAATACTAGGCCAATCAGTTTATAATTAATGTAGACCTCTGTGTGATTTCTTTGGGACTTAATGACTACAGGAACTGGGCAGGAAAGAAAACTCCATCAACATTAGAAATTGATAGAAATTCAGCCCAAATCATTTAATGGTTCTCTTATTGAAACTGAAGTTAGTAACATAAATAACAACATTTAAATGTAGACATTATAATACAATACAATCTAAAGATATACTAATTTTATATATGCTAAATAATGATGGCAGGAAAACATGAAAAATATTTGTTTTTGTAATTAAACCATGCTTTTCATCTGTTGTTGAAGCTCATCTTTGAGGTTTTGGTTTATTATCCTGAATTTTCATGTCCAGCCATACTTTTGTTTGAGTTTTCATTAGTGGTTCTATTTCCTTCTACTTTCATATCCTGCATTTTTTCATTATTTCAGTCAAATATTTGTATTTTCATTATCTTCATTAAAACATTTATCCATATTCACTTGAAGGACTTTGAACATTTTCAGATTACTATATTGAGGTGCTTGCCTTATGCTTTAGAGAAGTAGATTATCTTGGAGGCTATTCTAATAAGTTTCTGGCTTCTGCAGAAAGACATATTGTCTTTGTTCTTCGATTTCTTGTTTTGCATTGGGATCTAGACATCTGGAGTTATGATATGTAGATATCTGTTTTTTTTGTTTGGGTAGGTGTTCTGTTCTTTGGTTTATGATGCCCACTTTGAATTCTAGCCTAGTATGACAGTGGTGGGCTCCCTAGTAGAGAGTAGTTATAGGTTCCAAGCGCACTGTTTGAGGAGTCTCTAGTAGAGAGAGGATTTGTGGACTGGTAAGAATCAGAAAGGAATGCAGACAAGCTAGAAGGAAAAGCTGGAAGGGCAATGAGAAAGAACTAGGGGGACCCTAGAGATCTGCACCAACAGGCAGTGTCCCAAGGGAATGGAGATGGGTTGGGAGCAGGGCATCATATAGGCAGACTGCAGCAGTATTAAAGGCTAGTATGGAGAGAGCTAAGTAGAAAATAGGAAAAAGAATAAATGTCATCTACCTAGGTCCAGCCAGTTGTATAGACTGTGGGTCCTTGGTAGAGAGGAGTTCTGCAAGTCTGCAGAGTCATATAGGAGTGGGGATGAGCTAGAGGAAAGTCTGACGTATATACTAAGGAAGTCAAAGGAACAGCTGACGCATCTGTCTGTGATTTACTGAATTCTATTTTTTTTTTCATATTGTTGATGTTTGGGACACACTGCTGGCTTCTTTGGGAGTTTATCAGCTTTAATTTCTAAGTCAGCAATTTAGACCCAGCAGCTCATGCTTCTCTGTGTATCCTGGCCTCTTTTTTTCTGGTATTGTGCCTTGGATGCTGTCTGCCCTCTGGTTATATTAGAAGAAACAGAGACATCTGAGGCAGCATTACACTATTATTTCCCACAATAAGTCCGGATTTTGAGCAGTATGAAAAACACTTAACTGACAAACATCAGTCAAGGGAAAACTCGTCTGCCAGAATCCTCTTAATTGAGATAGGATCTAAAGATACAGGTGGAAACAGAAATAGTGATTGATGCTTTATTGATGCTATATTTACTCAATATTCACTGCACACGATGTTAGCACAGTATTTTACATTGTCTTTTTTGGGATAATTCAAGCAACACTGTGAGCATAGTGCAATTATTTCAGTGCAAAAAGATAATTCTGGGGCATGAGTGACTGAGTGACTTACCAGTGTCATGTTTTGGTGTTGTTAAAAATATAGGGCATGAAGCTAGAAAGAATGAGTACAAGGACATTTAATCACTTCTAGTTTCAGAGCTCTCATAGAAATTAACTTCTTACTCCATTCATTTTCCTGCAAAATTCAAGATGTTATTTTTTTCTGCTGTGTAGTACTCCATTGGGTAAATGTACCACATTTTCCTTATCTATTCTAGAAAACATCATTTTGAATGAGGTAACCCAGCCACAGAAAGACAATTATCTCATGTATTCACTCATAAGTGTTTTTTAAACATAAAGCAAAGAAAACCAGCCTACAAATCACAATTCCAGAGAACTTAGACAACAATGAGGAGACTAAGAGAGACTTACATAAATCTAATCTACATGGGAAGTAGAAAAAGACAAGATCTCCTGAGTAAATTGGGAGCATGGGGACCTTAGGGAAGCATTGATGGGGATGGGGGGAGGCAGGGAGGGTAGCAGAGAAAAATGTAGAGCTCAATAAAAATTAATTAAAAAGGGGAAAAGAGTGGCTTTTTTGCATTAATTTTTCTAATCCTCTAATTACATTTGATTTATATTCTGTTCCAGGACACAGACACTGTTAAAGAGAAAAAAATGCACTCATCCTGCCGGCCATTATGTCTGGAGCTAACAGCTCCAGCCTGACCCCAGACTTCTTTATCCTGAATGGTATCCCTGGGCTGGAAGATGCACATGTCTGGATCTCTCTGCCATTCTGCTTCATGTACATGATTGCTGTTGTGGGGAACTGTGGGCTTATCTACCTCATTGGCCATGAGGAGATCTTACACCGTCCTATGTACTACTTTCTAACCCTGCTCTCCTTCACTGATATAACCTTGTGCACTACCACTGTGCCCAATATGCTGTGTATATTCTGGTTCAACCTCAAAAAGATTGGGTTTGAAGCCTGCCTGGTTCAAATGTTTTTTGTGCACACCTTCACAGCTACAGAGTCTGGTATGTTAATGCTCATGGCCCTGGATCGCTATGTGGCCATCTGCTATCCTTTACGCTATGGAACCATCCTGACTAACCCTGTGATTGCCAAGGCTAGTCTTGCTACATTCTTGAGGAGTGTAGCATTCATCCTCCCTTTCACTTTCCTCACGAAGCGTCTTCCCTATTGCCGAGGCAACATCATTCCTCATGCCTATTGTGACCACATGTCTGTGGCCAAAATATCCTGTGGCAATGTCAAGGTCAATGCAGTCTATGGGTTGTTAGTTGCTCTTGTGGTTTGTACATTTGATATATTCTGTATCACTGTGTCATACACAATGATATTGAGAGCAGTAATGAACCTGTCCTCTGCAGATGCTCGTCACAAAGCCTTCAGCACCTGCACATCTCACATCTGTGCGATTGTGATCACTTATGTGCCTGCCTTTTTTAATTTCTTCACTCATCGTTTTGGGGGACGCACTATTCCCCACCACATCCACATCATAGTGGCCAACCTCTACCTGCTACTGCCAGCTACCATGAACCCAATTGTTTATGGAGTCAAGACCAAGCAGATTCGGGAAAGTGTAATCAAATTTTTTAGTGGAGACAAGAGTGACACTACTGAAATAAAAGGATTTAAAAACAAGTAAATTTCTTGGAGTATGAAAAATAGTGAATGAATTAATAAAATATTCAGTTGAATGATATTAATTCATCTAGTGTGTCCATTTCAATAGACAAAGGTACATAGAAATTCATAACAAATGTGAATAAGATAGTTTTAAGTCAATCTTATTTGTAAATTTTCTGAAATCTTTGCAATTTTAGGATATGACATTTTCCCTGAAATAAAAATATTTCAGAAAGCATAATTCAACAGATTATATGTTTATGTATTTCAGAGTTTATTTTTCATAGTTTCATCATCTCATGATTGCATCATTTTTGAAGAAGAGAATGTCATAGAATGGTAGAGTCATACACCTTGTCCACTAATGACAATAACTGGGCCAGCATCATGAATATTTTCCAACTTACATTTTTGGTACACTGGGCATTTCCCATTTGAATTGCTAATTTTATTAAATGTAACCTATTTTTCACACACAAAAAATGTTTATGAGTTCCTTTTCCCTGTGGTATTACTCTGGAACCTGTATTTAAAATAGGTCTAAAATATACATTGTTATGTAATAGGTTAACCAGGCAAAAATGTTAATTTATAAGTTCATTCATTTGTTTACTGATTCCTTTTGAGAAACCAACATTGTAGCTTTGGGTCTCAGGGTATCAGTGTATGTCTTTACCATGCAAATATGAGAAGAAGCATGTATTTAAAGAATAGAAAAGAAAAGAAGAGAAAAGAAAGACAAGAAAGTAAGTTGAAAATGAATACAATATGGAGGAACCAACCATTAGTAGAAAAGGGGGAAAGGTTCTGAAAATTTTGACTTCTCTAGGTTCTAAATTTAAAATTCTCTTCTGCCCTTTAATCTCCAGAGACTAGACTTTGACCAATTACTTACTCTTTCTAAATTTAATTCTCATGTTTATCAACTGTGCAAATAAATCTTATCACAAAGAGGAATCTAGCAACTATGTATTCTGATGCACTCCACAGCACATAGCACAATGGCTTCTGATGGACCCTAGCAAATTCAATAGTTGTGCTATTGTTATGAGAAGCTATTCTGATTCATTCTGCACCCATAGTTTGAGGAGAAATCATTCTATGTACCAAAGAGTAGATGATTGGTTTTCTATGGAGAAATTTGCCTTAACTGGTCTCACACATGTTATTAATATTGGCCATCGAGTTTTTTTGAATATGCTCTATGTGACTGACTCCATGTTAGACACAGAAAATAAGTGATTTCACAAATTGTGGTCAATTTCTAAGTAGTAGAGGATAGAAAAGACAAAGGGATGACTATGGTAAAGCCAAGATATGCCAACTGTACCTCAGAGATTATTGCAAAACTCAAGAATATTATTTATTGATTTCAGAAGTGAATAAAGACCTGATTGGGAAAGAAATGTATGAAGCAAAAATCATGGATGTGTGCAAATGTTTAAGAAGCAGCAGATGCTTTTATATTAGGGGCATAGATATTCAGGATTGAGATGTCATCCTGATGAATTGTTCCTGTTATGAGTATAAAGTGTCCATCTCGATCTCTTCTGATTGATTTTAGTTTGAAGTCAGTTTTGTTGGAAATTAGTATGGCCACACCTGCTTTTTTGTTAGGACCATTTGCTTGAAAGACCTTTTCCCAACCTTTTACTCTGAGTAGATGCCTGTCTTTGTGGTTGAGATGTGTTTC